GCCATGTTTCCTAGCTTTTCTCCTTGCCCTCTCTTCTTTGTTTAATCCTAAGTTCTTTCTTTCCATTTAATTGTATTGTACCTTTCAATTTTTATTTCTTCTTTTGAGTTCTTACACGATGGAGACTGTATGAGATCTCCACATGTGGGTCTGGTTAATTTCACGTATGAGTATATCTTCAAGTTGCATCCACTTATATGTGAAGGCAACTACAATATTTGAATAGCAATGAACACCCATCTCTGACAAAACTAAACTAAAAAGGGATATAAAGGTCCATTTTATAGTGAAAATATATATAATATTTTGTATATGAATATTCAAAATAGGCTAGATATACAGTTACTTTCTCTTAGTTCAATGAGAAGAAAGATTTATACTAATATGTTTAGATAATATTTCATGTCTGCATCTTGTACTCTGAATAACTACTATGAAGACAACAATATGCAATGTATTTATTGTAACTGTCTTGCTAATCTGTTTTGAAAGTGTCTCATTGCTATTTCTTTCTCAATAAAATTAATAATAAAAAAAAACCCAGAAACTGGTTTTTGCACAGTTCTGGAGATGAGAAGCCCAAGATCAAGCAGTTTGCAGTTTTGCTTTCTTTTGAGAATGCTCTGCTAGGCCTGCAGGTACCTGTTCTGTTTTTCCTGCATCTTCATGTGGTCGTCTGTGCGTCTTCCCCTTACTATCCTCCTGTAAAGACGCCAGTCACGTTGGATGGGAATCTGCTCTATACACTTCCATTTGTCTTAGTTACTTCTTTCAAAGCTAAACGCAGTAGCATTACAAGGCTAGGAGTTTAATACCTTAGTTCTTGGTTCAAGGAGCTGCCCATAACAAAACCTAACACTTGCATTTTATTTTCTAATACAAGCTACCTTCTCCTTCTCTGAAAATACTGTAATCAGAGGATGGCATGTTTCATTAATAGTCAAGATCGCCAAGATGTATCAGAAGTCTTCACGTGAAGGGAAAGAACCTTGATGTTGTAGGTAAGGAGTCCAGGGATCTAGCCATTAATCATCCACCTATAGTTACACTTGATTTCTCTGGACCTTTGTACCCTCATTTATAAAAAGATATGAGTATTACATGCAATAATATATTTGAAAGTGGCTAGATTTCAGATTTGTCATTAAAAAAAAATAACAGGGCTGGCAAGATAGCGCAGTGGACTAAAGTGCCTGCTTAGGCAAGCTTGGGCAAGCGCAGGGGCCGCTGTTCTAAGGTTCGATCCCCAGCACCACATGCCCTGCCAGCCCCGCCCCCAGGGTGGGCTGAGCCGGCCACAGGGTCCTGGTGTGGTGGTGCCAGCCTGTAATCCCAGCACTGGGGAGGCTGAAAACAAGAGGATCAGTGCAAGTCTGAGCTGCAGAATGAGACCCTGTAACAACCAAATACACTGAAGAAAAAGATTGCCCAAATTCTTTACATTTCCTGACACATATGTGGAATTCCAGAAACTGTTGCTCAGGAGTTGCACAAAGTAAATACTTTGGTAAAACATGTAAACTAAAGAGCTCCAGTGTAGGAGATGCTGTGGATTTGCTCCCTTAGCAGCTAACTTTTTGATACCTTCCCCTGACCAGAAACCCAAGGCACAAGCTCACCTCTGTCATTCTAAGCTTCAGGATTCGAAACACCAATCTATTAACCTCCTTGTACATGTGTTTGAATCACTTTTGGCCAGACTTTTAAAACTAGTGAAGTTTTCAAACATTGTTTCTCTGAATATCTATGGCTTAATTCTGAATAATGCTAGCACTGCTGTGACCTCATGGAAAGGAACCATCATATTGTGAGGTCCACCTTGCCACCTTCACTGTGGCATCATTCCGCTGTCCCATACCCACGGTTAGGTGCTCCAAGAGCCCACCTGAGTCCAGCCCTCTGATTTTCCAGATGAGCAGACCAATGCCTTCTCTTATACTCAAGAAAACGGGTGACTTGTCTGAGAACGCATGCATCTTCACCTACAGGCACTGAGGCAATCCCTCCAGACCACTGTCCCTTCCGTTCCTGCTGTGGCTCCTGATCTGTCTGTCCCACAGGCTCTAGATCCCAACTGCATACCTCAGAGAGTTGTCACCAAAAGCGCAAGAGGATAGTGTCACCAACGCAGCACAACCCGTTGGGAACCTGCCCTGCTTTGCACCCAGATCTGTTACTGAGCCACGTGGGTGTTGTCACACAGACTTCATCCACGCCTGGCAGCGTCTCAGGGAAGCACTCACATCAGGCCTGCTGCATATTGGCAGGACTTTGGCTTGGGACCCATTTCAAATGCCTCCTGTTGGACGCTGGCAGTCTTGGAAAAACATGGCCAGGAAATTAGTCTAAGAGCTCTAACTGCTCTACGACACTTTCCAAGGGAAGGTTGCTAGCCTCCTCTCCCATCCCTTCACTTTATGCCCAGAACCAGAACATACGATGGCATTGCCCAGTGTATGCCCTCAATTAGGGGAAGGGAGCTCAGTCTATAATCCCAGTGCTGCAGAGCCTGGGCACAGGGCTAGTGAGTGGCTGCTGGGCAGAGCCGCTTTGCACTGAGCTGGGTGCATTTCGTCAAGTTCTTTCTCTTTTAGTGTTTAAAGTCCTAGTGTATTCCAAGAGAAATGTAGCCCATGTGTTTCTGATTCATTTACACTTAAATCATTAAAATGTTGTTTTGTGAGACTTATTCCATGGTGGAGGATCCTCCTCAATGGGAATAGAAAAGGCTTTTTCTCCTACCCTGCCTGAAACAGAAAGCAACCTTGCGCTGAAACAGCGCCTGAATTTGAACATGTTTTCTCCTCTCCTATACTTGCACCTGCATTTCCGGCCAGAGTAACCACTTGAAAGTATCAAATGGATGAATTGGAGAGAGAAGGGGGGAAGGCATTGCTCCCCAAAATGTGGCAAAGAAGTGTCCTCATAGGGTAGAGAGTGTGAGTTTGCTGCCTGCAGTGCAGAGGTAAAGCACTTCCCAAGGACAAGCTCACGGAAGCACCAAAGCAACCTTCATCTTCCAATTGAGGAAAGAGAATCAGGAAAGTATTTATTTATTTTTTTTAATTTTTTTTTAATTTTTTTTAACATTTATTGTGTGTGTGTGTGTGTGTGTGTGTGTGTGTGTGTGTGTGGCCAGCTCAGCCCACCTGGGGGCGGGGCTGGCTGGCATGTGGTGCTGGAGGATCGAACCGCGGTCCCTGTGCTTTGCCAAGCTTGTTCCAAGTAGGTGCTTTAGACCACTGAGCCATCTCTCCAGCCCTTTATAGAATTTTTTTTTTTTTTTTGTGGAACCGGGGATTGAACTCAGGTCCTTGCGCCTGCCAGGGAAGCGCTTACTCCACTGAGCCATCTCCTCAGCCCCTCAGGAAAGTATTTATGCCCAAAAGTGCACAGCCGGCTTGAGCAGGAGGGAAACAGGACCACTCAGTTCTGAATTGAAGTCTCTTTTCAAGATGACTGTCTCCCAGGGGCCAGCGAGAATATCTGTGAACTATATCTGTAGTTCAGCGGTCTAAAGCACCTGTTTAGGTAAGCTTAGGCAGGTTCAGGGGACCCTGGTTCAAGCCCAGGCACCACATGCCACACCAATCCGGCCTCCAAGGTGGACTCTGTGTGTGTGTGTGTGTGTGTGTGTGTGTGTGTGTGTGTTTCTTTATGCATTATCATATATTAGCAAGAAGTAGGGTGGAATACTATACAAGAACTCAAGTTCTTTCTCAAAGACTTTCTAACTGCAAGAACCTGGATAAATTACTTAATGTATCAAGGAAATTTCCTCATCTGGACAATGGGTCTATCACTACCCTCCTGTACCAGACAGAGAGATGATTGAAAAGGAGTCCTCTGCTAAGCACTTGGCACGATGCCTGTCCTGAGCAACTGCTGGCTGTGTGTGGCACCATCAGTAGCCTGCGACAAAGAGCTGGAGAGTGTCGGCAAGCTAGGTCATCTCTCCGAGCCCCGAGGTTCTCCTTGTCTGAGTAGTGTGACCCTCGAGCATTTGTGTAGGTAATACGGTGACTTCTGTGCCTAACCCCATGTCTGTCTCAGAAAGGACGTCTGGAAAAGCCTATTTTTACACCCAGGCATTCCCTGCCTTTCCAAGTGGCTTGTTGCTACTGTTGGGGGAGCAGGTATGCTTGTGGAGGGGGCTACTCCTTTGCTGCTGGGCTCACCACATTCTGCATTGACTATGAAGTGGGCATGGGGGTCTCCCCGCACTCAGTCTTCCCACTGCATCTGTGGAGGGACTGCACCTTATCACTCAGCTTAGTTGGGCCCCGTGGAGCATTTCTCCCACAAACCAGGGACACAGAGGGCACACGGGCCTGGGTCCTTCTCCATTTGAGGGGGCAGCTGGCTTCCTGGCTGGCGCTGACCCTTCCCAGGCCAAGTTGCAATCCACACAGGTTGAGTTCATAAACAGCAGCACAGGTCTCCCTCTTCAGTGGGAAGAACAAGCAGCCAACTGCAGACCTGGGTGCTCTGCCACTGTCCACCTTGCTGCACAACTCTGCTCACAAGTTGTTTGCAGAAAGACAGAGGCTTTGGAATTTGCTTCTTGCTTCCCCTTCTAGCATAGACGCTGAAGTTGCCTTTCTTAGATGACTGGTGTAATTTACTGTGATTCTTTTGCTGGTGTCCTGAGGCAGGGCAAAAAGGATAGCCATTAAGTAAGGAAGGCTGAAGAGAAATTAGATGCTGTCCCTCCCTCGCCACTCTTTCCTAGAGGGGGGTTGGGGGAGGAGAAATACCTATGCAGTGCGTCTAGGTTATTGTCTCTCGAGGGCTGGTGTCAGCCACAGGGGGTAAAGGAGGGAGCTGGTGGAGCAGAGCTTTAAAGGGAGAAGAAACATTCTGTTCTGTCAGGTCCTTCTGAGTGTGTCAGAGCAGTGAAGGGGAGGTGGAGAGAGGGAGACAGAGAGAGAGGAAGAGAGGGAGTGAGAGAGAGGGAGGGAGAGAGAGAGAGGGAGAGAGAGAGAGAGAGAGAGAGAGAGAGAGAGAGAGAGAGAGAGAGAGAGAGAGAGAGAAGCCAGAGGGAGAGGGGGAGAGGGGATCTGTTGCAGCAGAAGGCGTGACCTGAATGGAGAATGCCAGCCAATTCCAGAGACACACAGGGACTTCAGAACAAAGATAAGGCATCGCTGACACCACGCCGGGGACGAGCTTGCAGACAAGTCGGGCAGAGGGAACCAAGGCCAGGCAGCCAGGAGTACACAGGGCAGCACAATGAGGTGAGTGCCAGGGCAGGCGAGGGCACTGCGCCCTTTGGGAGACCAGTTGTGGAGTAGCTGAGAGGGTCTGACCTTGTCTCCTCCGGGCAGACTTACCTGGCGTCCTGTGGGAGGCTGGGGTGCTCCTATGGGCCCCTGGGACTCTGCAAAGGGCTCTGTGGCCACGCGAGGTGCCTTTCCTAGGACTCCGGAGACTGCAACTTGGAGCAGGAGAGTTTGTGCAAACCCTGCTCTGGATGCTGCCACCGGAGCTCAGATTTCGACCTCTGCCAGGACAGGGTGCTGCCTGCTGGCCAGTGTGGCCCTCTTCCTGGTGCCCACAAAGCTGTTTTTCCTTTATTTTTCCCTCTGCCAAAAGCATTGCTTTCTCTGTCCGGACACTTTGAGAGTTAGATATGTGTTTGTGTGTTTATTTGTTCAGACCGGAAAAGAAACCAGCTTCCCACAGTCCAGCGTTGTGGCTTTTGAAACCTTCAGAAGTTTGCCAGTTAAACCTCAATTTAGAAAACTAAAAACCTGTCCCCATTTTACAGTTCCCTATAAATTTCTGCATTTCTCACTGAAATCAGAGGCAGCTGGTGACATGAATCAAGCTATGAATTGTACCAAACGCTCTTAAAGGGATACAAACCTTTTTCTTTTCAAAGGAGTGTTTGGAGTTCTGTAAATCAGATTTTAAATTCCACAAGGCTTGGAGCTCTTCAGATATTACTTACAATGTTTTTATCTGCAGGTCTGAAAATTCAATCATTCTAATTATCTTCATTACATATAAATGTTACTGTTAGTAGAAACACTAAAAAAGTGGGTAAAAGAAATCCCTGTGTCTGTTAAGTCAGGTACCCACAGATGGATTCATACCTCCCTATTAATTTTTCTTTAAATTGGGGGTGCTTCTGTCAGTTTATTTTTGGTAAAGTCACTTAGCTACCTTGCCATGTGGGCTTGAGGAGCTATAGCTCCACATTCAAAATGCTTGTGTTCAAAGCAATAATCGGATCCTTAAATGTAATTCAAGCATTCTATTATTGCAAACCTAGCCTCAACCTTCATTTTCTTTTTACTGAAAAAAAAAATGGGCCCTTATGTCCATATATACAAAATGGGAATCTGATTTACCTGTAAAAGATCAGCATCTCACCACGTCACTCAGTGTCCCAGCCAGCCAAACTTCAGGGCTAACCGTGCTGTGGTCCTGCGTTTCTGTGTGTGTTTACCCCACAGCCTAGAGCCATTTCCCACCAGATTATTTCAACCAATTCCAATCCACTTCCCTTTCCCTGATCTCCTTCCTCCAGGGTAGCATCTCCTCCTTTGTTCTATTCTGTCCAGGGGAGCTACATCTCTTATTACCTTTGTAGCACCTCCTGCTTTAAGTATCCACCTTCATCGGCATATTCATCTTTGTACAACTGGTGGCTAACATGATGTCTATTTCCCAATAAACACTCAATAAATATTGTTTTCATTGAATGTAACTGTTGAATAGCAAAGCAAGTGTTAGAAATGTGCCATGTTAGAGAAGTCTCTGAAAGGCTTTGCCTACATGGATGCAACCCTTCAGAATTTAGAAGGCAATTTTATGGGCATTGTCTCATCTGGTCTTTGATTTGGGATGGAGTCACATTTTGATGGATGTGTGAGGATTAAAAATATTAATCAGCTTGCCCAAAGCTATACTGATAGGGCACCAAGGCCAGTGTCCGCCGCAATCATTTGCTGGATTCAGTCTGAGCTGCACTCCAGAATGAACGGTTGAACTGTGTGGTAGTTGAGAAAACACTAATGCCCAGGCCTCGCTCCAGGCCAGTTAAACCCAAATCTCTGAGGCGGGGTTCAAGTATTAGTATTTTTTAAATTTCCACATAAAACCATGACTTTTAAAATTATTTTTCACAGGATTAATTGCTTTGGCCAGCTGCCTGGGCATGCTATGGGCATGGACCCAACTTCTTCTAGGAGCTTTTGTTATCCTCTTCTGTTGAAGTAGCTTTACCATATGGCATTGGGCATGATGTGACATCTCTCAGGGTATCTTTTCACCATCTGTCAAATGAGGGTGGTGCATAAGAGAGCTCTCGAGCCCCTTCCAACTCTTAGACTTAAAAATGGTGTCTCGGTGTTGTGTAAGTTGAAATAAGGGAAGTAAATGGGAAGGCTAGAAATTGCTCTTCATTCTACACCCCTCATTCTACACCCATGTGAGGTCTACACAGGCATTCGATGCATCTCTATGCATAGGCTCCCACAGTGCAGCCTATGAAGTCCCAGCTCTATATATTACCCTGACATTTCAAGCAAATGTAGCTAAACTTTTTGATTAGCGGGAGGATAGATAACAGGTGTCAGGCATTGTACAGCCGGTGCTTGGTGTGGAAGAAGCCAAAACTATTCAGAGCACGATGGGACGTGAAAGCTGCCAGTTATATTCTTCAATTTACAGACCCTATGGTGAGAAAGCAAGCAAGCATATGCTCCAGCCCATTATGTGAACAGAGATATTTGCTTCATATGCTTGAAACGGTTTCAAGACACAAACAGAGAAGAGCAGAAAGCTTCACAGGCCTTCTGCCCACGCTGACCAGTTGCCCACCACACATGGCACTGGGCCTCTGAGCTAGAGGGACCAGTCAGCTGCCAGCTTTTGATAGGCTCCAAGCCCCCCCACCCCACCCCCCACCCCACTGTGGTCTGGCAAAAGCGGACATGGAGAAAGTTGACCTTTCAGCCTTACATAAACCTGTTGTCTCTACTGCAGGGAAGTCCACCTAGAGAGCCAAAGCTCACTCCTAACTGCTGATTGTCGGGAACCAGCAGGATGGAGTAATCACAAATAATGTTTGCCTAGAGCTGGATACTTAACAAAGCACTTTCTAGTGCACTTTCTGAGCGCTTTCTAATGAGCCTGTGGGTAGGGACCCTATGGGAAGTCGTTATTGTTACCATCCCAGCCCTGAAGAAACAAACAGGCTTTCCACACCTTCTCTGAATTGGTAGGGTAAGCAGAGTCAAGGCTCTAGTTGAACTTGCTCTCCTCTCCTCAGCCTGGCCGAATGTGCATTCTTTTAGCCCTGTTCATATAGTGCATTTCTGCACTTGGAAACGAGGGTGCGGGGCCAAAGCTAGAGTTTCTGAACTCCACATTACTTCTGACTACTCCCTGGGTAACTCGGGCTGGACCCACGCCTCCGCTTCCCTCTGCCTCTGAAGCTTTCCTTCACAGATTGCTTTAAGAAATATTGACATTGGCTATTGGATTAAAATGTTTTGTTTTCCTAACAACATCCCACACGCTGCTATTGTAGGGGCCTTGGAAAAATTTTAAATAGGTTTATTTTCTTTTTATGGAAAAATAGTACATGGTCCTTCTAGATAGATGTAAGCATTTTATGTGCACAAAGCTAGAGAATTCATTCTCATTTCACAGACAATCACTGTTAATACTATGACCTGTACTTTTTTTTTTTTTTTTTTTTTGTGGAACAGGGGATTGAACTCAGACCCTTGTGGTTGCCAGGGAAGTACTTATTCCACTGAGCCATCTCCCAGGTCCCTTTTACTTTTTTTTTTATATCTGTCTTATTTACCTGTTTGGTGAATAGTACAAAAAATAGTTGAATGGTCTATGCATGCAGATTTTTTGCTCTGTTTATAGACTCAAAAATTCATATGTATGCATATATACAAAAGTATGCATCTGAATACATGGGAGGAAGTATTGGCAGAGAAACAGCTTTCTGATTAGTGAAGCTGTGTTAATCTGAAAATGCTAGTTTAGCTTCTCAGCATTGATATTTCTAGGCTATTTTAGACTCTGGGCCCACTGTCCTTTATTCATCCATTCATTCTGCTACTTATCCACCCATTCAGAACCTATCAGATACTAGTCTCACTGTGACATCCTTTACATACACCATAGCTGGTGTTCTCATGAGCTTTGTAAATTAGGGATTATAATCTCCATATTATATATGAGGAAAATGAAGCTCAAAGAGCGTAGCTGCCCTAAGTGGAAGAATTGGGATTCAAAATCAAATACGTTTAACTACCCGGCTGCGCCTGATGGAGTACAGCATGATAGCTGCTCCCACGGAGGTGTGTACCTGGAGATGTACACAGGGAGATGTGGAATCTGGAGGGATGAAGGGATACTTCACAGCCCTGGAAGCTTTGAGCCGGACAGTGAAGAATAAATAAGACACAGGCACATGAAGGGCGGGGCCATGGGCAGTGGTGCCAAGTCATGGGAGGAAGTGGCAAGGCTGGTGTTGAGAGGGCCCTAGACAGACAGATCAACACCAGCCTCTTCATCCACAAAGGACACAGATGTTCCCCTGTAGCTGTGGCATAGTTCGCACAACACAGTCATGTCTGTGCTTTACAAAACTCACCTTAGCAGAAGCCATAACCGCCTTGGTGAACGATGTAATGGGGAAAGGGACAGTTCGGATGCTATAGTAATATTCTAGCGCAGAGGGTTGAAATTAAGTACTTGACTGGATAGGAGATGGATTTCTAAGACATAGGAAACAGAATCAGGTAGAACTTCATGACTATTACACAAAGTGTAGCAGGAGAAAGGAATGGCAAATTTAGCAGACTGATAGACAGCAAATTCATTTTTAAAAATCAGAAACAAGATCATGAACCTATTAGGAGAGGAGCTGATGAGCCAAGTTTGGGTTGTTGAGTCCCAAGGTCCCTGGGTCTCGGAGGGAAAGTGGTATATTACACTAGAAGCCTGGTGTCTTGCTGTGTACTGACCTTCAGGGCTTTGGTCAGCTGTTACTGTTGTTCCTTGTTACTCCAATTATTCGTATTTGCTGCCTTCTGTAAGTTTTATTGTTTCCTTTGCTGTCTTTTGCAACTGTTTTAACAACCATTATCCTTCATTCCTCTAGAAATGAATCATAGGCTTTGGACCCTCATAGTAAGGCTCTTGCCAAGAGGAAGATGATCCATTTCACTTCTTCTGTCTTTATTCAAGATTTTGCATGTCTTGATTGATGCTGTGGCGAAATACTTTTTTCAGCATGTTAAATTTGTTTAAGGTTGGCAGATCCCATCGCTGAGTATTAACCTCATCCCGATTACACCATCTGATTATTAGTCATCTTTCAGAAAAATGCTTAATTGATGATTAATAAATGAAGCTGAACTGAAGAAATGATACTAAATTTTACCTAATTGCGAAACTTATACTTTCAATAGTAAAGTGAAATATGTCTCAGTGCCAAATGTGGTACTTCCTGGAAAAGTATGAAACTCTTAACAACTTTTCTTTTTTTTTTTCTTTTTGTTGGTGGCGGGGAGGCCTGAACATGCCTTCAGGGCATTTCTGGTTTGGCAGGAGTATCTGGGTTCGAACCAGTACAACTTGAGCCTCACTGCTTTTTTAAGCAGACATTTAAACAACTGAGCTAATGGGCGGGGCCCCCCATTAACAACTTTTCAAATACCAAACCTGGAAGAAACCTTAGAGATCGTATAGTTACTTCCTCTAAAGCTACAGCCTGAG